TTTTTTCTGCTTATTGGTTTATTTTTTAGGAGGATTTCTCTCTTAGTGATTGTTGTGACTTTGATCAAGGCGCATTCAGGTGTCTGGAGCTCTAGCAGAGGTCAGCAGGTCAGTAGCAGCTAAACCTGTCTGGGTTCTATCTACTGTTTTCTGCTGGTTTTGTCTGGATTCCTTTAACGTGACATAATGCTTCTTCCCTCAAAGACGCTTCATCTGTCCATCACAGCAGCTCAGAGCTCCAATCCTGCAAAAACTGAGAGCAGCAGTGAAGTACCACTTGAAAAAACTCGACCACACACCCTGCCCTCAGTCAGAAAACCTGTAAATGCAGAGCAAAGCCGCTTTTCTTGCTCCTCTTCCACCAATTATCAGGTTTTCTTAATCTCCTGATCAGATGTGCCAAACGCTTCCCAAAGGATCCAAACTGCTTGAAATCCGAGCGAAGAGAAAGGAGTCATTAGGAGGCCTTTGATCTGCAGAGGAGCTGCATTTTGTTTAGCTGCTGAACGATTTTCTCTGAATGTCTGAGAAGATGAACAGAATTCCAGTGAGGAGACATGAGACCCAGAGTTCAAGAGCTGTTAGAAGACCCCCCACCCCCAACACACACACACACAATGATTTCCATTTACTCTGACAGGAAACTTATTTTGGGATCAGATTAATATAGAGATTGCAGAGACTAAAGCATTTCTGTGGGTCTTCAGGTTTTACCTGAAGGCGAGACTCCTTTGGTTCAACCAGCAGAGACACAAACCAGGAAAACGAGGAAACATTGTTATAGGAAATTAACCACAATAAGAAACAAGCACAGAAAAAAAAGTGAACTTCAGACGAAGATACTGAAGAACAGACACAAAAAAACCAAGATTAGACTAAAAAAAAAAAGGATAAAAACCTTTAAATAACTTTAAGCTCATTACTGATCATGAGACCAACAAAATAAATTGTGAAAAACAAAAACAGTCTAAAAGTTAATCATAGAAACCTGCATGATTCAAGGAAGATTAAAAAAAATTATCATAATTAGAGGAACATATTTTGGAGCTTAAAAAGTTCAAAACTAAAACAGTTCACATCATAAAAACATAATTTCATCAAACAAAATTTGCTTTTTTTTTA